TATTTTAAAATTTTTTTACAAGTTTCCTCTAACTTTCTCTTCATTTCTTTCCAATTTAAGAGGAAAAATTTTGCTCACTATTCATTCTCTCATTTCCTTTCTTTTCTCTTTTACTTAAAACTTACAAATAAAGAAAAATCGAACTTTCTCTTCTTTCCCTTTCTTTTCCGTTCCAATCCTCAACTCTCAAAGGCACCCTTTATGTTCGATTAACCACTTTGTCGTTCTCATTTAGCTTTCCATGTACGTAGAAGACCAAACCATGTCTTTTCTTGCACTTGCAGACAAGTCAATCAAACCGCCCGCGGGTAACGGGTGCCCTACTCCATCAGGATACTAGTTACACAAACCGGATGCTTAACGGTTCAAAATATAATACGACTTCGAATCTCGTTGAAGTTCTCCATCTCATCTTGTGGCATAATTATTGCCTCATTTGAATATAATCATATGAAATCCACCTATCCGCGTACGATGTGTTTGGCATATTGAGTTCTGGGCAGACCAACAAGAGGCCTCTCCTCGTCTGAGGTTGTGTCGTCCCGTTCTGTTGTGACCTTCTTTCTGCGAGACAGGGAGTTAAAAAGTCGTTTTCTTAATCTAATTCTGACCTGTACAAAGCACACCCCAATATGTCGTGCATGGAATAACTAATAGAATGATGAAACGGTCCACCTGCTGACACGTAATCTTTGTCATGTTGCACTTTTTTGTCGGAGGTTTAAACCCACTTCCCATCCAAAGACCCCCAAGACCATTTTTTTTCTCTCCGTTCACACTTACTTTACAGACACACTTGCTACTTGGAAATTTGCCACGTCAAGCCAATGCGCTATAGTATAATTTTTAAGTCTTCGCTTCCTCATTACTTTTAGGGATAATTTCCGATAACTCTCCTCAAGTTTTTTACAGTCTCACTCTCCTCTCATGTAGTTTCAAAAAATCACAAACCTTCCCTGTCAGAATTTTAGGTCCCATTTCTTACGTCATCATGGCCAAAAAGACTTAAATACCCTCACAAGTTAGCTAACATTTCGTGATTATTAGGACAAATTTGGTGAAATTAGTTATAAACACAATTAATGTAATTAAAGATAAATTAGAATTCTTTAACCAATATAGAAACAGATAAGTAACTAACATCTAACATAATGTACATGTTTGTAAACTGATTGTACCTTATAAATCACCCCGTGTAAGGTGTTTATAGGTAAATTAGTATTAGTAAATCACTAATGCAAGATAATCAGGGCATTTGTGGTATATAGTTGTTTCTCTCTCCAACTCCCCATTTTTTATTGTTTGTATTTTTGAATTGGGTCTACTTTGAGACTGCATATTTAGTTTTAGGGGAAGTTTGTGGTATTTTTAAAACCACAAGAAAGGGGAGTGAGACTGTCAGAAACTTCAGGGGAGGTATCTGAAATTATCCCTTACTTTTATCGAAAACTATATGGTAACTACAAGCCACTGGCTATTTGGTCCAGTGGTCATCACTCTCTTTGGTGATGCTGGAGGTCAGGGGTTCAACCCCTGCCTCCCACAAACTTGCCACCTTACGTGGCTGGTCTTCTGCCCCCACGGGATAGCTCGAACGGTTCCCTCCCCCCCCTTAGGGTATGACGACCTTCCTGACTTGTCCAGGGTTCAAGTCCCGTTGTTAACGTGCTGGGTGTGGGATGGGGCCTCCTCTTCTGGGCCGCAGGGATTAGTCAGGCCCCGTAAAGATTGACCCGGACACCCCTGTATTGAAAAAAAATATATATATATAGTAACTACAATCTGTGGGCTATATAATAGTAGCTAGTTAGCTACAATCTCTGCGTCTTCGGTTAGATACCATACCCAGACCCCCTCCTCCCAACCCGGCCCGCGAACACCAAAAGAATCTGTGGGCGTTATAGAAGCACGTGTCTACACTATACGTGAATCTGCTGCATGCTGATGGCTGCAGTAGTTTCCTTCGATGTGATAGAAAGGGTTAAAAGTAAAACTACGCTGTACTGGTTTGACCCTTGGGCTTCTTGTTGGCTTCAGATTGTGACTTGTTGGTAGTGGTGGTAATGACTCTGCCGACCACGGTGTAGTGCTAAATTATTTCTTTTTATTTTTTCCCTCTTGGCGTAGTGGCGAAGTATGAGAGTTATGCTAAGAATATTTATTTTTTACAACAATTTTCGTTAGATAGATTTCCCTACTGAAATTAAGATCAACGTGAAGTTTTTCCCTAATTGTTTTTCATCACAAAAGAATTGATGCTGTCTATCCGTCATTTTTCCTTCTTAAAGACGTCCACGATGACAGGGCTCTGGCCTTGTGAGAGCAAGCGATTGTTGGGTAAGTTGCGGGTCCGGAATTACCCTTTACTTTTGTCACTTGTACGTTTATCTTATATGCATATATATATATATATATATATATATATATATATATATATATAGAGGATAAAATGCAGACGCGAGCGAGGCTTTATAATTTGTTCCATTTTGTTTTCGTCTAGCCGTCTCGGTGCTAACCGGAGCCATTAATGAAAGCATGGGAATCAAGAATTTGTCGGGGGAGGCGGAGGGGGGGGGGGAGTTTGAGGGGCGTATCATCATGCATGTTGCCCTTACGGAGATGGTCCAGTAATAAACGAGTTCTTAAGGACTCTTATGATTTTGAATTTGAATATTACTCTGGATTTGAACTTTCGTAACTCGTTTGGGGTTGTTGTGTAGGGCCATAACGTACTCCTCTGGTTTGATGTGCCGACTCGAGTCCTAAGCGCTCAAGTTGGGACATGTTTCGAATTATCAAAAAAAAAAAAAAGGGCTCGAGTCGCAAGTATGTTCGGAATTAAAAAAAAAAAAGGATCATCATGCATGTTGCATGCTAGTTTTATGACACTAAATGACAGGTGGTGGTAGAATGGTGTGCCGTAAGCATTGACGTATATGCTGATCTTATCATTTCGGCTCTGACAAAAAAGAAAAAGAAAGAGAAAAAAGACTTCTGGTTTCCATGATGAACTTTGGTTTATTCTACGAATGGTTTTACTAAAGATTCATGCACTTGTTAAACAGTGTTGTGTTCACTTGATCAGCTTTACAAGTAAAAAATTTTTGGGGTTTTGTCTTTTGATGAGAAAAATCTGATTGTACGATCCATACTAAGTCCCCCCTGGCAGCTTCTACTACAATATAATTTCCTTTACCGACTTTCCATGCTCAGCTTCGGATGCATTATTAACATGCTTCCGTTATTTGTTCTTAAGAATCTTCTTGTTAATTTTACCAATGCAGTCTTTTCTTTCTTTTTAAGTAAACGTAATTTTCATAATCAATTTGAATGCGGACACTTACCTTTTGTTCATCCCTATCATATATATATATATGTATGAACCCTTCTTCCATTTAACTTTGCCTATTAAGAATCTTGCACCACATCTCCATTTAATCCACCTATTGAGGGTTACACCTATGAGTACTCGTTAACAAATTTAAATTCCACCCGACCTACTGTATATATGCCAATACTAACAATTACTATTACTCTCTTTTATATTTTTATACTTTTTGTAATTAATTTTATATTTTTAAAAGTCTAACGTGCTAAAATATTACATCTTGACGATTGTCCAATAGATACGGGTCAAAAAGACCCATATAAATTTTATCTTAAAACCGCACTGTTGCACGGACTTATTATCGCCGTACCGGTAAGAGAAGCAACTTAGAAACATGTAATAATCTTGCGAAAGATGCTGAAAACGCGCAAGAAATTATGCCTGTCATTTTCATTCTGCGCGGTAGAGACATATGTTTAGATCTCCCAACGGTTTGGCATTCAGTTAAATGGAATCAGGGTCAAGACGGTAGTTAAGTGGAGCCAGCGGCATTTATCGCATCGTATGAGTCCTTTTTTTGGGTATTCGATGGGGTCTGGCGATTAAACCTGTAGCTCATGTCGGTGTAACCTCAGCCATTTGATTAAGACCTTACTTGACTAAAGCAAAGTTTTCTACTTTTTCCATATCAGGTCGAGTCATCAAATCTAATTTCCGCATCGTCCTGCTGTGGTTCCACCTCTCCCTTCTTCTTGGTCTCCTCGAGTTAAACTTTTGTCGTAAAATGACTTCTGAAACTATAATAATAATAATAGGGGTCCCGTACAATGGTCACACAGCTAATCACCTGGAACCACTTGTAACCTTGCTGCGTCTTTCTTCTACTACTCTATTTGGATTTTCGTTCGACTCACACGTCAAAGAAGTTCTTTTTATTGAAGCTTATTATACACTATTTTTCATATATATATATATAGTCTCATAGATGCAGGGACTCGTTATTAGCACTACTGTTTGTGAGGTGTGAGTACTCGGAAGCTTATCGTCCACTCAACTCGTTTGGCAAAAAGTTAACGACTACTTTTTGGGTTTTAACTCCTCACCAGGGTTGAGTATTTAGTAGGTTCATTTGGCAAGTGCTTGCTCCGGAGAATCCAGGTGCGTCTTCTAACGAATTTCTCATTATTGTTCGATTTTGAGTTACTCCACATATATGACATCATATGTTGAGGTGAGAATTGTGGTCGGTTTAATGATGAACCTCCCGAAATTGGTGCACCCACCCCCCAACATATTGCTTGCTTTATTCACAGTACGTAGAAGTGGGGTGGTGCATTGCATCTAAATCGCTCCAGTGAATTAGATATTGAAGTGGAGGACTACCGTGTCCAATTTAGCAGCTGGTTGGAAAAATCGTTCGTTCCTTATTTAGGAAGTATGATTAAAGTGGAACTCCTTTTTGAATTCTTTTTTTTAAATAGTGGGGTCCGTTTCAATATATTAGTTGGGGCTTTTTCCTCTTCTTTTCCTTTCTTTCTTTTTTTTTAAATCTAATTTTGAAGAAACCAATTTAGTGTAGGTAGGTGTTCGAACTTGGTTAGGATTGGTAGCCCCGAAGTATTATATAAGATATCCGAGGCGCACGAGCGTATTTAGCGCCTGCCTCAGCCTTCTTCTTATTCCGTCTCTTTCATCCTCCAGTTTTATTGTCGGTTACGTTTGCCCCAACTTAAAAAGTCTCTCCATTAACTGGTATGCTCACCACAACTTTCTTTTCCTCTTATGCTCCAATCTTTACTTTTGCTATCTTAAGTTGAATTCTTACTAGTATATACATACATATATATATATATACAGGAGTACATTCGGAATTTTTCATGAAGAAGTTCTTCGTCTAATTTACTGGATATCCTGTGTGTTTTCCATTCGTAAGATATTATCCATTTAAGGCTGAAGCCCAATACAATCCATGTTATTAATTTTTCTTTTGGGTCTAGTCCATTGATGGTTTCTTTAAGTTGGGTTTCTCCGAACGTGGGAAAAAAAATCTGTTTTCTGTTAAAGGTTTGGTCGGTTTCTTTCCTGTTTCTTAGCCGTGATGGAATTGTTGTTGTTGTTGAGATGGCAGTTATATACTGTAGAATATTCTTTTCCCCCTAAGTAGAAATACAATACCTGGGTCATGTAGAAGACCCGTATGGACGTTTACCATTGTAAGGCCCAACGAATGAATAGTACAATGCCTGACAACTAGCCCGAACGAACGCTATGGTCAAAAAATGTTCCCTGGTTCAGATGAGTAAATGGCCTAGAAAGCCTTTAACCCAACTCTTGGTGGCACGCAGCGCAGGCAAATTTTAAGAACTCTTCTCTCTCCTTTGCAAATGCGCTCGTCAAAAATTTGATGAAGTTGTGCATGTTAAACTCTTGCTACAGGTAGTAGAAGATGAGGGATAATTTTGACAGGCTCTATATGGGATTCAGCAGATTGTTTGGCACGACGGCGAGGTATGGTGTAGGTTACTTCTCAAGAGCAAGAACCGATAAGATTGAACCCCACGAATACATTGAGGATGGTAACCCCGACGAACTCAATGCAGCTGATTCCAAGTACAGTTATTGGTTGGTGAGTAAATAAAGCATTGTGCTCATCTCCTCAGATAGCAAAGAAGAATCCAAGATGATGTTTTCCTTTGGAATTCAATTCCTTAACTTCCTTTATTTATTTATTTTTTTCTTGGGATCTGGGTATATTATTTATTATGTTTTAATTTGAACGTAGAAAGAGCACCCTTCTGCATTGAGAGCATTCCAAGGGATCATGAAAGCAGCAGTGGGAAAGCAAATTGTCATTTTTTTAGATTACGACGGGACTCTAACGCCGATTGTGGATGAGCCCGACCGTGCATTTATGTCTGATGCGGTAAACATTTGGAATTATTCAGACAGCATTTGATAAGAAGTTATAGCCATCAGTCCACCACTAACCGCCTATCGATATCGATATCATCAGCGCAACCGCCCATGACTCTTTTCGCTTATACAGTTTTGAAATGTTGTGATATGCAGATGCGTTCGGCTGTAGGGGGAGTTGCCAAGCACTTTCCGACCGCTATAATAAGTGGTAGGAGCCGCAACAAGGTAATAAACTGCATGTAATAATGCAGCAATATTTACGTTCATTAAAAAAAAAAAATATTTTTTATTCATTTACCTACTTCTTATCCGAAAGGAAGCAAAACATAATTTGCTTCTTCTTTCCTACATTTAGATCCAAATATTTAATTACAGTATGTTATTTTGTTTCTTGTGTTTAATTTGTTTTTTCGCTTTTCAGGTATATCAATTTGTTAAGCTAGATGAGGTATACTACGCTGGGAGCCATGGGATGGACATCATGGGGCCTCCTACGAAATTGAAGTCCTATGAGGGCAAGTATCACACAAACGCCCTTGATAAGAAAGTATGTAAAACAGGGGTTGACCGTATAATGAAAATACTTGTATGTATATATATATATATATATATATTGACAAACTAGCTAATACCGCTGGATAAAAATTTGCAGGGTGATGAACTATCCATCTTCCAACCTGCCAAGGAGTTTCTGCCTGCAATTCGGGAGGTGAGCTGACTCAAAAACACAATATAGGTTTTTTTTTCCCCGTTATTCGTTCTAAGCTTAAATCTTGACGTTGACAACTACAGTAGTAAATATGAAGGGCCGACCTTTGATGTTTTGTGGCGAATTTTGCTTTGAATTTCCTGTGATGGTGATACAACTGCTATATTTTGTTACTTGTTCGGATTCAATCAAGCAAATTTCTTGTGCTTCACCAGATATTAGATAAGATGAAGAAGGGAACCAGTGACATCGAAGGTGTCTTAATCGAGGATAATGGGTTCTGCATTTCTGTTCACTACCGACATGTTGCCCACGTTGTAAGTTTTACAGCATCGTTCTTGTCACTTGAATAATCAGCCCAAAAATGATGACAAATTCGGACTTTGTAATAAATACCCATTAATTATACGTACTTAATGCTCAAAAAAAAAAATTTTTTTTTTTTTGGGGTTTTCCGCAGGATTATGGTCCATTAGAAAAGAAGGTTCTGTCGGTACTTGCAGGGTACCCACGCTTTCATCTGACGAGAGGCAAAAAGGTTTTAGAAATCAGGCCATCGATACAGTGGAACAAAGGCAATGCACTGGTTTACTTGCTTGATACCCTTGGCTTTGCAAGTTCCAGCAGTGTTCTCCCAATTTATATTGGAGATGACAAAACTGATGAAGACGCTTTCAAGGTAATCAGTAGTATTTTTTGAAGAACCGTGATTTTTACTGCTTAATATGTACTGGTAAATTGTCGAGATTAGACTGTTTGATGGCTGTTAAGGCACACGAAACACGAAAGTTTAATTCTTGATTGGATTGTCCAGGTACTTCGACGCAGGGGACTGGGATATCCTATTATCGTCTCTTCGGCCCCAAGAGACACTCTGGCTTTATGCTCCTTGCAAGATCCTTCAGAAGTGTTATCTTTCTTGATACGTCTGGCGAGGTGGGTGTCAGCTTCTGATTAATTTTCTCTTCAGAAGTGTTTTCGGGGATGTGGCTGGTGTACATAGATGAGAGATACATCTTCATATGGTGACAGCAGCATATCATGGGACTTGAAGTTTTAGGCAAGTCCCAATAGACACTAGGTTATTATTTCGTGTACAGCAATCGGAAGGTCTGCACTGCGGTTTTTGGTCTAGTGCAGATATCAGCAGCAGCCTGAAGTTTTTCAACCCAAGACTTTGATGGATGAACCCATGACAACAAGAATAAAGAAGAAACAACACCCCCTGTCCTTAGTATTATGTCTGAGCTGAATTTTAATTAAATTTATCAACCATCCTGAACTCCTGATGCTAAACTATCCATTTCCATGCTCTTTGTAATATATATATATATATTTGAAGTTGGCTGTATTCAAGTATAGAACAACTCTTGGCAGCAAAGATTTGCGATGCCCATGGATGCAGGTTTCTTCCTTGTACAATTTTCTATTTGGGTCAAGAAGTCTGGGCTGGTTTTGGAAGTCCTGCTGATGACGAATCTGTGGAGATTTTGTCCAGTTTATCGCCTTGCGCTATAAGAGCATCTTTAACATTTTTGAAGTGGGTATTAATTCAGCAATGATCAGATTTTCACTGGCGGCCCATGTTCTTGTTCTGTTCACTAGATTTGGACAAACGGAGCTTGAAGCTCTGGGTATAAATCTACGCCAAATAGGCATCAATCGTTTTATTATTAGCTTGGGCAAGAGAAGGAAACGTGGGCGAATCATAATCAACCCTCAACCCCCTCTAGAAAAACCTACGTATGGCGGGTGGTACGGTGAGGATGTGTACCCTCCAATGATTGGGTTGGATGAAGCCCAGCATCAATGTCACGTATTCTCACTTGTCTTCTCCATCTACAGGCTACAGGCTACACGCTTTTTTTTATAAAAAAAAAAGAAGAAGAAGAAAAAGGGTGGTAGTTCCATCTTCTATGTAGAATAACGTATGTGTATGATTTCACTACTACTGTCTCTTACCTGTCGTCACTTGCCTTTGATTAATCACTTCACCCACCAAATATTTTTCTTTGTATGATTTGCAACGGCACGCGTGATAACCGATCGATTGTCATTGTCAATTGGTAGTTCTTTCAAAACCTGTCCGTTTCAGAAAACAAAGAGTGATGATACCCAAATTACAAAAGTTCAAAATTGTTTGGATCGCTGATTTTTTCAAAAACTAGTTTTTCAAATACTATTATTAAAATTTTTAAAAAATATCTCAAAATATATTCTAAAAACTCTTCTACTCTTGAATACTCCAAAATATTTTCTAAAAATATTTCAAAATATATTATAAAAACTCTGTTACAGTAAAATTTTTCAAAAAATTTCAAAAACAGTTAATCCAAACGCAATAGCGTATTCTTCCCTTTTTTTTTTTTTTTTGGGGACTCAGAAAAGGGTATATATATATATATTTTTTTTCTTTATTGTCATGTCATGGGGACAACATCAATCAAATAATTTTAGCTCACTTCATTCTCTTTTGTAGCCTACTATACTAGTAACTAATAATAACAAGTCGTAGTTGTACATCGTGGATGCTCCTCCCAACCACCGCTTGGGATGTATCAAAAATTAGAACTACCCTTCTATACTCGGATGCTAAAAAAAGCAAGGGCGGCTAAGCAAGGCCATTGGCCCCTGGCCCAACTTGGAACTCTTTCTTGGGTTGGACACGTTTTGACTCTTTTGCCTTTCCCACCCAAGCACCCCACTCAGGATCCTCGTGTCTTCAGCAATCGCAGCTCAAGCTAAGGCAGCTGACACATAACTACCAGCGACTATGATTCCCATTAATTCTTGAAGTAAGCAATTTAACTAATTTTTTCTTTGCTTTTTTTTTTAAAAAAATAATAATAATAAATAAAGCGAGTATGATTAATTTGGTGATTTACCAAGTCCACTTGTGGATTGATTATCGATTCAATCCTCATTTTCTCTTCTAGAACACAACCTAAGGTACAATTGTAAAAGACTTTCAAACAAACGCATTTCATGTATGTCCAATGAATGGATTACCTGTTAGAAAGGGTTATCATCCGTTTGTTCTGCCGCAGAATCTAGTCTAGTCAATGGAGCAAGTCCGTGTCCGCTTGTTGACAATCAAACAAATGGTACTCAAGTGCCAGTCTCATCCGAACAAAGAGTGGAAATAACGGATGACAAAGGACCTACCATTCCAATTCTAACCCAAGTTGAATTCGCGGTCAATTCTGCTTTAAAAAACCTTTCTTTACCGTAAACAACGAGTCAAGTAATTACAAGAAGAGGATTTTTTTTGTTATGCATCTTTTTCTTCTTTTTTTTTGGGTTAGGAAATTAATTGTACGTAGTGATGATATTAGAGGAGTCGGGTTTCCTCACATGGTTGCTAACAACTATATTACCAACTAATTAACATATTCCCTTTTTCTCGCCCAAAATAAATAAATAAATAAATAAACGATGAGTTAGTTACTTTTATTGCAAAAAAAAATCGACTCTTGTCCAACCATGCAATACATTTCATCTGTTAAACGTACATTTCATGTACGCCAAGGAACGTGAGAAGAGCCGCCCAAAAAAAGGTAGTACTACTTTTCTATATTTCTTGGGCGCGGCAGGCAAATTGCATGTGTTGAATGCATGCTGAACACGTTATATATTTATTTGAGAGTGATAAATTGAAGCGAGTTTCAACTCGCCTAAAAAACTTATTAGTTTTATTTATTTAATTCAAATGTTCTATCTTTTGTTATCAAATGCATTTCAACATGTTAAAATTTGAATTCATTAAATTTAAGTGATGGAGTAAGTTATACCAAATAGTGTCTTAGTGCTGAATAATTCAATATGTTAGCGGGTTCAGATTTCAAATTTCAGACAGATTTCAGTTTTATCAAACAAATCCGTAATACAGCTAGAAAATTAACAAGCCACAGGAAGGACTTATCACCTAAATAAGTCGTCTGGTGCATGAGGTTGAGGAAGTGATTAAGGAGTTTCAGTTTTTGTAAAGTGCCTCGTGTTTGTGGGATTGGAAATCTTTCATCCCATTTACTTGCTTAATATATGCTTTTGGAGTTGGTTGTGCCATGATACGGTGATAATTTTCCTTCCCATAAACGATTCGATGAAAGAATGGACATCTGGTTTTTCCTAAAAAAAAGAAAAAGAAAAATCAGTAATTATTAATACATTTAATGGCGCACTTACTAATAATAATAAAAAAATAGTATTGATACAATAACGTGTCAACGGCGCTAACAATGTGGTACCTGCTTAAAAGGAGCATGCAATAGCCTTCCTTTAGGAACAAGGAAAAAATAAATAAATAAAACAGAGCACAAGTAATTCCGTATTGGTGGAGCGGGGATAGGGATTGGGAGAATAAATATGAAATACAACTAACAGCGGTAGAGCGTGGCAATCTCAAACTTAACGCTCTCGGCGGCGGAAAACGACAAAATGAGCTGCAGTCCCCCCGCCGCCCCCGGGGGGCTGGGTTTGGATGTAACCGTAACGGTGAATAATCAGAATGAGCCAGCCATGACCACGAGCACGAGCCAGCCAAAAAAAGAGGAAAGCCACGTGAACCGAAGACGTAAATACAGGGCGAGGTCGGGGTTATTTTGGTCTCCATGAGATTTAATCTCAATGGCAGCGCAAGACGACAAAAACAGTGGCTCGCCTCAACAGATATAAAGTGTATTAGGAAGGTATTGAAGGGCAAAACGGGGAAAGGCAAGAAAAGCCGCGGCCAGTCTCTGTCTCTGTCTCTCCCTCCCTCCCTCCCTCCCTCCCTCCCATACAAGGAAACGGAATGGATGATTGTGGATTGAGTGAGATGAGAAGCATCGGCGGCAGCAAATACTGCTACTACTAGCAAAGACGACGGCGACGATTTATGCATAAGACTCGACCACACCAGAGTAAGAAGTATATTATTATTCATTCTCTCATATAGAATACTAACGAATGTGTAGTAGCAGTCTGGTATTATAATCATAAATAAAATAGTATGTATCCTCCAATAAAAATTTCGGTCCCGTTAGTTGAATAGATATTGATGAGTACATACATGGAATAAAAAATATATATATTTTGATAAATAAAAGCGTGATTGCGTGAATGTTATTGAGTGCCCGCAATTTATATATTTTTAATTCCTGAAGTGATAGAATAATAATGATAATTTTAAGCAGTTAGTAGCAAGTATTATTGGGAATTGGCGATGAATTGGTGAATTCAATTACAGATTCAAGTCCTTGCTGCTTACTGCTGCTGCTGAGTTTGCAAGCCTTCGTCTGAGTTGAGTTGACTCGTCTCCTCTGTTCTCGTCTCCTTTGCAGCGTCCAAGATTCAACCGTACTTTCCTCCTCAGTCGTTTCTTCTTTAGGAGCAGTCTTTCGGCTTCGTGCATTACGGATACGGAATAATTTCGCCGGCGGGTCGTTGATTGTTGGATGTCAAGATGAACGCGGCCGAGAACGGATTTAGCGGAGCCGAGAGAGAGTACATTAGGAAGCATCACAGTCATCAGCCGGCTGACAATCAATGCAGTTCCATTCTCATCAAGCGCATCAAAGCTCCCGTTCATCTCGTATGTTTTCCTTATCCTTTTAAGTCCTTTCTGTCTTCCGTTATAGGACTCTTGTTTGTTTGTCTGCTCCGTGACTGCTTCTTGTTGGATCGGCTGATTGATTAGTTTGATTTCTAGATTGAGCAGATTCGGATGAGGCTTTGTTTTTTGTTCTTTTCGACGAGATTTCTTCACGTTTTACTTTGCGATTCGTGAGTTTTGGATGATTTTCTTGTTCTTGAGTCTTGATGTTTGTGTTTCATCCGTTGACCTACTTTTACCCGGTGCTCTCTGTTTGCTAGAACGGGTTTGATTAGAACCTGCGACCAATTGGAATTGAAAGAAAGATTAGGAAATTCTTCTATCCTTTCTATTTTTTCAATATATTGTGATAAAGTTAAAATAGAAGCCAAGGATTTGGATCAAGTGCTGCTAATCTGAAATTATTGCTTTCCTCTTTTGTGTTCATTAAATTCCGTAAAATAGGAGATGAAGGGAGAGATTCAGAGTTCGTGTACTTATTAAACGTGATGAGCGGCATGCATTGGCTTTTTCTACGGGGACAATTACAAATTCTTGACACTGTACTACATTTCATGAAATTCATACGAAGACAATATTGTAATTTATATCAAAAATAGATTGAGAATTTTTACCATGATATGCCATATTTGTTGAGAATCACTTATAAATTTGTTGAAGAAGTGCAGATGAAAGTCGTAGTTCATTTGGAAGGCCAATATGTGTAATTTTCAAATTTGTTACCCTGTGTATTTAATTTTTATCTAAACATGAATAGATATTAATCTTTTCTGGTAATTCTTTTCTTCCCAGAGTCTCTTTTATGGTCTAACATTTGGTATATGCTGGTTTCTTAAGGTTTGGTCTCTGGTTAGGAGGTTTGATCAGCCCCAGAAATATAAACCATTTGTCAGCAGGTGTGTTGTACGGGGAAATCTTGAGATTGGAAGCCTTAGGGAAGTGGATGTCAAGTCAGGGCTTCCCGCCACTACCAGCACTGAGAGGTTAGAGCTTCTTGATGATGAAGAGCATGTGCTCAGTGTGAGATTCATTGGAGGTGATCATAGACTCAAGGTATAGTTCCCCATCTCTGCTCTTGAATTTCTCTTTCTTATGACCTCTTCACAATGACTAGATGTTTTACCATTATGGTGATTGATACATACTCTCTTGATGGAGTGGTCACTTTTTCTTGAGCGTTATGGTGATTGATACGTACTTGTGTATCAGCTTTCTAGTGGAGTGTGCAATAGTTTGGGCCTTATGTTGATGCATTTGTATAACAGTTTTCTAGCACAGTTTGAAATGGCTTGAACATAATGATGATTCATTTGTGTATCAGTTTTCCTACTTTCATGAAGTTCATTGAACATAGTATTATATTTACAGAGTTTGTTAAAGGAAGAAGAAAGGGGGGGGGGGTGGTTGGCCTTCTAATGCTTAAGTGTGAACGTTTTCCTTTTTGTATTCTGGCAACTTGTATTAGTTCCTTGAAATTCTGTTAGACTTCAAGTTGCTTGCCTTCCTTCTTCAGTAATACATCCATGGCTTAACACATAATTTCATGTTCCCTGCCCTCTTTCAGAACTATTCCTCAATTATTTCAGTCCATCCAGAAGTCATTGAGGGACGACCAGGAACCCTCGTCATTGAGTCTTTTGTTGTGGATGTGCCTGAAGGAAACACCAATGATGAGACTTGCTATTTCGTTGAAGCAGTGATCAAGTGCAATCTTAAATCACTTGCTGATGTTTCAGAGAGGCTTGCTGTGCAGGACAGGAGTGAACCCATTGATCGGGAATGAGGAAACTGGGAAGATCTATTTTAGGCTATATTCGCCAAGGATGAAGCTTCTATCAAGAGTTATGATTTTCTGAGGCTTCGGAGGCTGACTGGTGGAAGCTGGTTGTCCATATTGCAGAGGCTTATGCTGCTTTCTCGTTCCTCTTTTGTTCACTATGTTACACTTTTTTTTATTTCAAGTCTTATTGAACTCTCTGTTTGTAGTAGCCCAAGAACCACAGATTTTATAAAGGTTTCAAACCCCAAAAAGAATGTCAAATGCACGAGCAAAGCAATGCTTGATGTGTCTGTCTTTCTGGTTTTGACTCTGTTGGTATGTCATACTTTTTAAGAGTTGTAAATATAGATGTATGTGGCGGAGGGTACTAATGTAGTTATATTCTCTCTGCTGAACTTTTACTTCGCGTTACAATTGCAGTTTGGAGGAAACTATTCTGGGTGTCGGAGTAATGTTGTACATGCGTCTACTTGCATGCAATTTAGTGATTTGTGGCACTATGTGAACAGCTACATCGTCGACTTGCTGTACCCGTGTCTTATAATATCCATTCTTTATCAGTAGCTTGAGACTCGACTTTTAAATTTTTTTTGTACTTGAATCAATTTAAAGATCATGCACTTTATAAACCCTAAACCCTTGGGGTTATGCTGGATGAAGAAAACAGGCAACAAAGGGCCGCACTCTCTTGAATTGTCCTCGATCTTATTAGCATTCGACTAAAAAATGTAATTGAATCAAAATAACCAAAAAAAAAAATTTCCGAAAAAAAAGACGAAAGAAAAAGTAATTGAACCAAAATGACAAAAAAGGCCCAAATACTAAAAGAATTAGTCATCTTCTCCCTCAAATACTAAAAGAATTAGTCATCTTCTCCCTCAACAATCAACATAACTAATTAATGCTGTAACAGTTAACCATTTAATCAACCGCAATAGTTGTTTATCATCCCTTGTGATTGTGAAAAAAAGACTTATCAACAAAACCATGAAAGTCAAGTCAAATATTTCACGATTCTCTAGATGTCCGACCACTGAACTCTTTACTCAAAGGCGAACAAAGTAGAGATAAGCTCATGTAAGATTCTATTCTTAGTAAGAAGAGGTTGAAACATTAGAGCACATTTTTTTCAACTGTAAAGCTAGAGAAGAGGCTTGGAAGACATTCCCTATCAAACGGGATGGTATTCAAGAAAGCTCGTGGAATTTCTGGAAGTGGTGGGAAGCGTTACAGGGTGCTAGAAATGGAGTTAACGGCATCAGTCATATAGAAGCCACAACAAACTTCTTGTGGCAATTGTGGAAAGCAAGGAATGCCTGCAACTTCAACAAGGAAAGTATAAAAGGTAACCTGATCTCAAGTAGAGCTCTAGAAGAATGGCTGGAGTACAAACAGATGTGAGACTTGGAGAAAGGGGAAAGCAAAAAGGATGATCCAGAAGCACCAACGATGACCATCACAAAAGAACTTCAAAATCAACATGCCATTCTAATGTTCACGGATGCAGCAATGGACAAAAAGAGAAGTAGAGGGGGATTGGGCATCGCAGCAAAGGACCATAATGGAAAACTTGTGAAAACTTGGGCAATCCCTACTGGAATGATGAAGGATGCTGCCATACTAGAAGCTGAAGCAATCAGATCAGCCATGCTCAAAGCTCTGGAAGAAGGGTGGACATCTCTACTCATACATTCAGATTGTAAGTGTCTAGTGAGTAAAATTAATCACAGATGTTTTGGACTATCTCTGTTAGATGTGTTGATAGATGATACGTACATCTTAGTCGATCCTTTTGGCGATGTTCCTTCATATTTATTGGAAGGGAATACAATCGCACTAGTTATGGTTTGACAAAATTTGCCATTAACCTAATTGATGAAACAAGGTAAGAGCTTGACTTCCCTGTGTGGCTTAGAATTGAAGCCCAAAAAGATGTCCTGGCCGTGTGCCAGTGGTATGTATATACTAGGAATATTGTAACCTTGCTCACATATATATTAAATGATGACATTTTGACAAAAAAAAAAAAAGATTCTATTCTTAGTAAATAATTTCAACTTCGTCAAACTGTAAGCGTCAAAATTTCTACCCTAAAGGTGGGCGTATTATAAACGAATATCAAAACTCTATCAACCTAATCGTTCATTTACAATTTTGCCATGAAGAAGTTCCTTAAATATGCTATAACAACAAAGAGGGCAGGAACAACTATAGACGTTTTATATGAATATTTCTGTGGGGTTTCTATACGCTGTACACGTCTGCCTGCCGCTGCAAAACAACCAGAAGAGATGCAGTGCCCAATTAAGCCAAAACAAGCTCCTCTTCTTCGTTTTGTTGCTGCTGCTGTTGATCTGTTAACAATCCTTCACCATATGGAAGGAGAAGCCGTTTAATTTGCTCAGAAGTTAAGGTCTCGTACTCAAGAAGTGCATTGGCTAGGACATGCAATGCTTTCTCATGCTGGCAAAAAGAACATCGAGAAAGATCAATTAATGTCCAGTTAATAATCAGATAAAGTTGATGCTACAAACAAATACACATGCAACGATATGTGACGTAACATGCAATTCCTTGGGTGACAATGTTTTGGCCAATCAGTTTCAAGGTACTGACTACTTATTTTCAGTCGTCTCTTGACTCTTAGATCTGCAGACAGATTTACTATGCCAAAAGAATGTCTCTCTTCCTGGCTCTCACTCTTTCGATCAGTTCAAACACATTTCAAATATCAGAACTTCACCTTTGACTCAATAACCGCATCCGTGCAGGAAGACTACAACTTTTCTCTTAATTACAATCCTGAAACCTGACAAAAGGATTCTACCAGTTGAAGTTTGACTGGCCAGCAAGATGTAATACATGGGATCAATCATTGCTGCAACGTTGTTGTCAACATTAAAATATAAGCTCTTTTTCCTCTACATTAGTCAATGAAATTGTTAAGACTCGGACATCAAAAGTTTTCCAAACACAAATATAGCATCTCTTTTGGCCATCTTCCCCCAAAACTCCCTTTCACAGATACAGAGACGTGAAAACCGTACCTTGTTGGCATTGGAAAAAAGCATATAGCAACCTAGAGCGTAACCATCCACTCCCTTATCCTACTTTTGATAAATGCACATGTTTTTGTTTTCTAATCTTAAAAGAAATAGCCCATGTTTAAATGCTCAAGGATATTTACTACTTCCCAATTAGGCATTTTGCCATGATGGTGACAAAATTACTAATTTGACTACTACAGAGATTCAGAGTGAAAATTTGCTAATGTGTAATGCATTTTGCATGAAAAGCACTTTACAACGTTTGCAAGAATCAAAGAAGAAAGGTCATATAGTCATATGTATCTAAGACCAACCTTTTTTAGCAGTGCTTTTACACGATCATAAGCTTCTCTCAAGAGCTTAACCACCTGTAAATGACCAAAAATACAAATTGATTACCAGTGAAAAACATTTCACTACACCCTAAAAGCATCAAAATCCAAAAGCATACTTCAGCATCAATCCGTGATTGCATTTCTGAACCCGGCCGCTCTTTGATGTGGATTGGTCCAATTGCATCACTCATCCCACAGGTAGATACCTGAAAAGTAAAGGAAGTACATCTCATACAGAAGAACAATGGAGCTTTTTCTTAGATGAGGCAGACAGAAGAACAAAACTAATATTAGCCACTAAGTTTGGAGAGAGATAGGAACATGAAACAAGCATCAACCATATATTGAGCTAATTCTGTAGCTGTGTGGAGGTCACTACTAGCTCCAGTAGTAACATGGTCCTGACCAAAGATAAGCTCTTCTGCAACCCTTCCTCCCATACAAACATCAAGTCGAGCTAACAACTGCTTCTTGCTGATTGAGGTCTCATCATTTGATGGAAGCTGTGTAACCATGCCCAAAGCAGATCCACGAGGCATGATTGTTGCTTTGTGAATTGGATGTGCACCTTCAGTATTAAAAGCAACAATTGCATGGCCACTCTCATGATATGCAGTGAGCTGGAAAGATAAGTTCAAAATAATGTAACATTATAATGCCACATAACCTACATCATTCAAGCATTAAAATAAAGGTAAAGCAAAAATGATAAATTCAGGCCTTAACTGATGCTATTTAATATAAGTCCACCGCAACGCATCAAACAAGTCTTTTAAATACTCCTGTTTTCAACAAATCCTTCTTTACCATATTCTTTGACCATTAATACTTTCTCTGTACCATCTCCAATTTATCCAGCAAAAATTAATACAAAGAATCTGCAGTACACTTAAGCTGTCTATGTTGGTCCTGAAGCCTAATCCAGAACAGATACAGGAGGAAGCAAGAAGCATCTTGAATTTCAAGTACAAACTAGCTTAAAAGAATGAAAAGCTAAACTTCAGAAAAGCTGTCTATATTCTTAGAACCTACTGTTTGTAATAGGGATTTGGCACACCTTTTTTGACTCTTCAGACAGATACATAGTTTTCCGTTCCGTACCCATGATGATCCTGTCTTTAGCAAACTCCAACTGCGTTGATGTTAACTTCTCAGCACCTTCAACTGCAGCCTTGATAGCAGCAATGTTAACCAAGTTTGCAAGATCTGCTCCATAGTCATGTTTTAAGAAATAAGATCAGATGTAGTTCCTCAAGTGACTCACATGATCACAACCCCTTCAAAAGAAAGGGTGAACCAGACCAAATTCACAGAAGTAAAATTCAAACTATGTCCAGGTAACTGATTTTTATACCCTTTTTAGACAGATTATTAGCAAAGTAGTTGGGTTTGGAGGCAATTGACAGAAATTAAAGGATCAGGGATGTGATCAAGCATAACTAGTTTTGTTGCCAACGAACCTCAACCATGTCTAGACAGATAAAATGACCCAGATCAAGCAACTGGTCTCTTATGTGGCCCTAATACCACTATATGGTGAAAGTAACAATGACATCATTGGCGAGATACTGACTTTAGGAAGGAAAAGTAATTCAGGCCCGGAACTTCAAATTAACTCAAGTTGCAGAGATGGTTCACCTTGCAGAACTTAGTGAGGAAAAAAGAAAATGAAAAACATGAACAAAAACATGCCTGCCCCATTGAACCCTGGTGTACCGCGAGCAATTGCTTTCACATCAACATCATCAGCTAATGGTTTATCCTGTAAGTAAAGCTCCAATATCTCTTGGCGACCCCGCACATCTGGACTTGGAACAACAATCTAGAAATATTTCATCTCATTGTTAGTTAAAGAGACCTGAAGATAATGATTTAATTGTATCTCACTTTCATTTTTATTTTTGGTAAATAAAATTACTAAATTCAATACAAACATCTAACAACGTTGCAAGGTGGTTATTGCTGGAGAACTCAGAAAGACGAGCCTAACAGTTCCCTCAACAGGTAAAGAGGGTAAAACCAGAATGCCAATTTACTGCAGCCCAATAAATTGTTCAAGAGAGATGCTCAATAAAATAAAATACCTGAAGAAATAAAATTTTGGAACTTACATCAAGATTTCACTGTCAGAGCAAGGAAGTAAAAGAAATTTTAATGCAGTGAAATCTTTTCAAATAACAGGTACGTCAGTAGAGATTACAAGTCATTCTTGAAATGACAAAAGATGGGCTAATGAAATAAAGATAAAGAACTTTTTAGAATGACAGCAAAAAATTTTCGGTGTACCATCTTGCAGATGTAGAACAAAACAGATATTGACTAAACTTTAAAATTGACCTGACAATGCCCTATATCAAGTTCGATAGTAATCAACGATGAAACAAGAAATACTCAAGATCTCATGTCATCGTCTTTGTAGGTTTATTAAAAGACTTGCATGACCAGGTTTATCAAAAGACTTACATGACGATCAAATCTACCAGGTCTTGTTAAAGCTGGATCAAGTATATCAGGCAAGTTTGTGGCAGCCATCACTATTATTCCCTGTAATGCACAAGGAACATATTTGTACTCCACAAAGGATGGAAAGAGCTAAATTTCTTAATGTCTAAATCAGTGTACCTCATTCTGTTCAAAACCATCCATTTCAACAAGTAGTTGATGAAGTGTTTTCTTCGTGTGACCTTCCCATTGCTTTCGAGTTGATCCAACGGCATCAATTTCATCAATAAAAATAATGCACGGAGCCTGGTGAGCCAAGAAGTTAAGGTTTAAATTTTGGGAAATTGCACATCTCAAAAAAAAATGTTTCACATGTTTCTCATGCAGTCAAAGGGATTTAGCGCATCTCAAAGTAAAACATTCAAACGGTTTATTTAGAGAAAGAAACACTTTTTATGATGATTAGTTTCATTCATATATCAAAGAAAGAAGCAGAGACAAAATTTACCTTTTTCTTAGCTGCTTGGAACAAGGATCTTACACGTCGGGCACCAACTCCGACAAACCTAGGATAAAGAAGAAAAATGAAACTTTTTCCCAATAAAATGGAAATTAATTAAACCCAATCACCGGAAATATTGGAATACATGAATTTAAAAGTCCTGTGAAACTGATGCATGTAGTAATCCAGCAATTGGCGGCATTCTTGTCTTCCATAGTTCCATTAACTGAAAATATATTCCCATTGTTGGAATGACTTAAAAGGAGGCTATTCCACCAGATATGGAATTACTTAATGAATGATATTCATTTTCATTTCCAGTAAAGCATCAAAAGTCGATGCTCATTCCTTAATCTTTAATTTTTAAGACAGATACTATCGAACATGGCAACAAAATGAAAACTTAAATTCTGGGACTCATACAAAACATCCAAAACGCATATGGCAACATGAACAAGCAAGATATCAAGGGTCATTATTGAATGGTCTCACTAAATCATCATGACTTACAAAAGAAATTACTCCAAGCCACAAAGACATGTAAAAAAGAAAATAAAATAATCAAACAAGTGGCTTACATCTCTTCAAATTCAGAGCCTGCTCTATAAAAGAACGGTACCCCCGCTTCTCCAGCGATTGCCTTCAATTGAGACACACAAACCAAAACTCTTAGAAGGTAATCAAAATATCAAGAAAAGGACGATAGAAATTTCAAAAATGGAAGTTTTGATTAAGTATCCAAAATGAGAACATGAGAAATTATTTTAGCACCAATAACAAAGTAAGGAAAAAGCATGTCTCTCAACTAAGCTTGAATAAATGTGTTACTCCAACTCCAATTTCTTGCCATTTACCACAGATAAATTTTTAAGCATACACTTGTAGTTTGAGATTGTGGTTTTTATACAAAAATAATCTTGAATTCCTTGCACTTTCCAGAAAAGTGTACTTTGTTTCAGAATCCTCAAATTAGCAAATCTTAAGCCACATAAGTTTAACTGCTTAAAAATGTACTGTGTTTCAGAATGGTAAAAAAAGGGAAAAAGAAAAGAAATTACTCTAAAAGTGAAAAAGACAAAGCAAGATCAAAAATTTCAATTGATAAAATGGGTAACCTTGGAAAAAGTTCTTACTCTAAAAGGGAAATAAACAAGAGATTTGGCATATCAAAACTTTCAAAAATATAAATAGGCATGCACTAATTCATAAAGCACGAGCAAAGGAACAAAAGGCAGGGAGCAAATAACCCGCACATGAACACTAAAAGAAAATACCAATTGTATGAGCTAACAGTTGCTACCCTAAATGGATCACAATAACACTTTGGCAAAACACACACACACACACACACACTTGGCACTGATCTAAGGTCATGAAACACACACACACACTTGGCAGTGATCTAAGGTCATGAAGTCTAGTAAATATTTTCATAAGGTCATGAAGTCTACACTGATTCCATATACTTCTTCAGGAGTTCCTATCTTTTTTTATATTTATTTTCATTATTTCGGGAACATGATTTACACTGATACGAGAATTTCAAATTGTTCAAGTGTAGATAAAGCAGTTCTGTTTTTTTTTCTTTTTCATACAATAGTTCCGTTAGCCAAGAATAGATTCCAAACACATAAGATCCTATGAATTGAAATTGTAAAATACCATGGACCAATGAAACATCACAAAAAAGGCAACTGCACCAACGTATGACTGAAGCTATATCAGGGGAAAGCAGGAAGCTGAATGATAAACCTAGCGATAGCCGCATCCAGATGTTCAAGCACACACAATCCATTATAAAAAAAAATTTCAGGAATGCAACAGCTTACCTTGGCCAGTAAAGTTTTTCCAGTCCCAGGTGCTCCAGTTAAAAGAATTCCCTGAAACCCATTGCAATCTAGTGGATAACAACTTAGACAGACAGCTTTGATAATGGACAACAATATACAAATGGACAGACCTTTGGCAATTTGCCTCCTAGTCGAGTAAACTTTGAGGGGCTCTTGAGGTACTCAACAACCTCCTCAAGCTCTTGTTTAGCATCATCACAACCTTTAACATCCTTGAAAGTTTTAACATTCTGCAATTAAAAGAAATATGGAAATTTGAATTTCAGTTTAGTAGTCCAATACGTGCTATAAACTGAATTAAAATCCCATATCAATTCAGATCACATGCACTACCTTTGCAAATTATCAGATGCAATGCAGTACTTTATCAAATCACCATGAGCAGTAGAATTCGTAAGAGCAAAAATTTTGTAATTTATTATAGAATAGAACCAAAAAGATATGACAATTGTCAAGTTAAGAATCCACATGGCATAACATGCTGTGCAATCATCACATTTTAAGATATTGAAGCATGCCTTGCTGTGAAGCATTTTCAAGTGGAAAGTGTAAATGAAAAATCAGATCGAAAGAAGGGGGAATTTTAAACAGGTGAAATTTCCAGCTCTCTTCTGCTACTTTCATATATATATATATATATATATATATATATATATATATATATATATATGTAACTATCAAGAGTAAAGAAGGAATGAAAATATTCCTTTATGATAAATAAAAGCGAGAAAATTCAGGTCAAACCCGAATTTTCTTACTTAACTTTAGGTTAATTTACTTTGACGAAAGGGCAGAAAAATGTCCAAACCCTTTTTTAGTTTAGTTAGGTTTAAGTCTGTCGAGAATAATATTCTACGACTAACAATTCATTTATTTTCAAACCGACCCATTTACTATCTATTATTTGATTGACTAATCCTTTATATTGGAATGGGTGAAGGGTCAAATGGCTTGGCAATTCCTCTTGAGGGGATGAATCCAGAGATTTTTGAATCAGATCAGTTAAATTACCAAGCAGTTCTCTTATATAAAATACCAATAATTTAAAATAATGTGAGGCAGTGGACTCTGCCAAAAATGGAAAAGTAGACTTTGACTTCATATGAATTGGATGAAGGAAACAAGTGAAGAGAGTTTGACAATAACAGGTCCAAATACCCACCTTTTCAGGCATTACTTCTTTATTCAATTCTTTCGGGGCATAGGAAGAACTAGATCCAACACCTGAAGTTCCTATCCCACCTAAGCTCCCAATATATTTCTGAAGCGCAGCAGCACCCATCAACCTAAAACCAACTCAAGATTCCATAGACATTATAATTGCGCATATATCAAAACAAATTTGAGGAATAAACACAAAACCTTACCACACCAAACCAACAGCTATAGTGAACAAGATAGTAGAGATAAGCTCTTGTGCAAAACGTGATGATCTGTTGGAGACTTTAGGATCAACCTACAACAGAAAGCAGTTACAACCAAGATTCAATATAACAGATAGTGAAATGTAGATCAAAAACTATGTGGAGCAACTAGAAGGAGAACGAGGAAAATATAAGAATCCTACTCCAATAACCAGAGTTATGCTAAAGAGTTCTTTTAACAACACAAAATGCACAAGACTTTGCTCTTAAATGAAGAATTGGTGACAGGAAATTCCTGCAATTGCACTCATTATAATCATTACCATTACAACATGTAGTGGCTGCTTATCAGATATGCCAGGGCTAAGAAAAGGTTCATCCATGTTGCCTGAGGCACGTTGTTTCAGCTCTTGCAACTACATAAATTCAAAGGTAACCAAATGAGAGAAAACTGGCAGATAAATGGAACTAGTTAGACGAACAACAATGGAACATCTTCGGCTAATTGAATAGGAGCAATGGCAGCAGTGGAAATATTAATTGAAAATTTGATGGTTTCTATCCAAGGCATTGCAACAAAAGCTCATAACTGAGACACATCAAGACACAAATGGACTTTGATTTAGATGAGATTGGGCTCAACGAGCAGTCCCTATCACTTCCTTCCACTTTTGACGTTGCCATTAAGTCAGAGAAAAGGAATGGAGTGACTGAAGCAAAAATGGAATAGACAATCTACAAGCTAATACCAAGGAAGGAAGACTAGAAGGCTTTCCAGATTGCTCATCAGGAAGATAATCAGCAATGGCATTAGTTGCCACAAGAGCTCGGATGTACTCTGCAACCCCCCTACTATCAACTGCATGATCTCTTTGCTCAAAACGGCGAATAACTGACTCAGGGCTGAAATACCAGAACAGAAAATTACCACCAGAACCTAAGAACCAAATCAAAGGGAATAATATTCTAGCTGCAGGGTATTTGCTTTCGCTCAGTTTCTTTGTCCAAACATCAAAACCAAAGTAAATAACAAAAAAGGATATGCAGTCAACATAATTCAACACTTGATCCATGTATTCATCATCCTATTAATGTAAGCAATACAATACTCCAGTTAAATTTTTTTTTTTTTTTTTTAAAAGTCCACCCTTAATTCAAGCTCCGAAACCAATAAGTAACAACAATATAGAAAAGCCAGGGGCCAAACCTGTGCTTATTGAGCTCGGCTAACAAAGCACTCTGCTTGGCTGCATCCTTGGGATTTGAGTCCGCCTCTGCAATCAAGCGCTCGAGGCGCTTCTCTTGGCGCCAGAAGGGCCACCAACTAAACCAGGCTGGCAACATAAGCTTCTCGAGCCCTTTCCTCGCCGTTGCAAAAAGTCCCATGAAAAACACCACAATTGGCAACTTACTCCTCACCCCCGTGGCGCCGCTGGCATTATCATCAGGTGGCCCCTCGGTGGCCTGAGGCGGTGCCGGTTCAGTCCCCGTAGCTTCACCAGAAGAAAGTTGACTACTAAATAAGGATTCATTACTACTAGTATTAACATTAAGTAGTTGTTTTTCAGAACCTGAATACAAATCATTCTTATCGGAAGAAGAAGAAGTTAAGTCAGTAAGGTCATCGGGATGAAACGCACAGGCGACAAGCAACGGACAATGGCGGCAAAATCGAGAAGTTGAAGCAGGATAACGATGAAGATGATTAGTGAAATATAGTTTAGAAAGTAGATACAAATGATGATCAAAAGGAGGAGGAGGTAAGGGACTAAGATGGTGGAGGCGTTTATAGGAAGATGACGAAGAAGATACGTTACGGCTAGAGGGGATAGGGAGAGAAGGGGGTTTGTAGAGAATAGAAGCCTGAAGCGTAGTGGTCATGCCTAGGCCTTCACTTGTTCGTAGGTTTTTAAATTAGTTGAATGCCGGAATAATTAATGTGATTACCGACGGTAATTAGGGTTTTAGGAAGAAGAAGAAGAAGAACTAATAGGGTGGGGTCACTTAATTGAATTCCCAAAGCAATAAATAGAATTTTGGTTTCACCAGTGGAAGTATATAGGAAGCGAGTGGAGGAGGAGGAGGAGAGGGTTTTGCAGTGCGAGCCAGACGACCCACACGAAATATTTTCTTTGTTCAACGCTTAACAGGCAAAGTGGAGTGGGGACTGGAGGCTGGGGAGCGGATCCGGTGAGGAAAATCTTCCACTACTCGCTATTCGCTTGAGAATTGAGATGGACAGCCAGAGAAGAAACCTTATCCCCTACTCTTTTAACTCGACTGACTGAAATTGGCGGTCTGCCTTCGTGCTCCTTTCTCTTTACTTCTTCATTTTCTTTCTGGTTTCCTTTGTCGTTTCTTTAACTTAAGCTAATCCTACCATTGATTTCCAAGCGCACATCACTGCTACCTCCAAAATCCCTTTTTTCCCCCCACCCTAGTGAATACAAGAACCTCGCCACATGATAGTCCCAGCCAACTCAATCAATTAGGTGATGGGTACGTCCCATTTGTTCTATTCTACTCTTCTTTTGTTTTTTTATTAAGCTTATTGCGTTCTATTTAACTTGTCCTTTCGCCTAGTGATTAAAGGAGAGTTCTTAGGGTTTTCTTTTATGAAGTTCAAGTTCAAATCCTGTGCTTAACAAGAGAATTAAAAAAAAAAAGTTGAAAAAGGAAAGTTGCCCTTGAATTTTTTTTTTTGGTGTCAATTCTCATCATATCCTTCGATTTTTAGACTGTAACAATTAACCGTTGTAATGTATACAACTGTTAGTCTCAACCCCTGATACTTTGGTACTTCTCTAAATTTTACCAGCGGCATTTTCTTGAGTCTTCTTCTGAAGTTAAAACTCGGGGTTCTTATAGCTCTGATTCATTCACCTCAAGGCACAAGTGATTTAACTGCTGTCTACTCGTTAACACGACTATCACAATGAAAGAGTGTTACGTAATTTCTTTAAGGGAAAAAAACCCCGGCGGCCATTAAACTATTGGCGAGATCATGTTTTGGCCATCGAACTATTTTTTGTCAATAATTGGCCACTAAACAATTTAATCAGTTAATTCGTGGCCATTTCGTCGTTAATTGCTCTTAAATTCTGAAATTAGCATTACACGTGACAATATTCGGGGGCAATTTTGTCCAGCAATTTTTTTTTTATTTTTTGATCAAGGATTGAGAGTAGTTGTCACAAGAAACCACGTGTAAAAAAAGAAGCCACAAGAATTACCCAACCCCAATTTACAGGTAACAAAACCACCTACCACAACTAAATAAAACTCAACTGGTAAATTAGCCCAAAAAATTGTCAGAAGCAGAAAAAGAAAACGTAAACAATTTTTTGCTGAAACAGAACAAAATCCCTGAAATCACTACTTCCTAATGTCCTTGACCTTGTACCATCCCTTCTTGCATGAATCTCCAACAATCTTCACCCCTTTCTGGAAAAGGATCTTCAATTCCTTGGCCCTTTCCTTCACTTTATGCTCAAAGCTCCCCATTTCTTGAAAAACAAGAGCAGCAAAGAGAAACAGAGGTAGGCAAAAGAGTTTCCAGATTGAGCAGGTGGGCTTATGAAAAGTGCGTGAACAGCTGCTCATTGTCCAGCAATTTACTGACCTTACAACTCAACTCCTCTGTTTATTCGTAAATAACAACTGTGTGTATGCTTGAGACCTCGTTGCCAGGTAGCTGGCACAATAGCCGGGATTTCAGAAATATGCTCACTTTCCTTGCCAATGTTATTATTATCCTCCGGGTGTCCCTCCCATTCAATTTGATTAAAGTGGGGCTCGATTTTGCGGCACGCCGAAGCAGCCTTGGCTACGTTGCTAGGCGGGAGTGGAGTTTGGGGGACGTCTCCTCCGGCTGCAGCAACCGGCAATCCTCTGGTTGAACGGCGAGTCCTGGTGGAAAGGTGTGAAGTAGTTTCGGATTCATCTTCTTAGACCGTCATGGTGGCCTTCCGGCGGGTGGTGGCGGTTCCTCTGGCAGCGGTGTGAGGAACGCTGAGGGATGCGAATTGAGATTTGGCTGGCGACTCGGTGGAAGATGCTGAAGGTCCAGCAACTCCTCTATTGTTCTGAAATTAACCATATTGGACTTTTAGGGTCAGCAAATTGCTGGACAAAATTGCCCCCGAATATTGCCACATGTAATGCTAATTTTAGAACTTAAGAGCAATTAATGACGAAATGACCACGAATTAACTGATTAAATTGTTTAGTGGTCAATTATTGACAAAAAATAATTCGATGGCCAAAATATGATCCCGCCAATAGTTTAATGGCCGCCGGAGTTTTTTTGCCCTTTCTTTAAATGTTAAAGTCAATCTTACATCTCTGCTTACACAGAAAGAGGTATTGCATAATTTTTGTAAATCTCAGGAGTTGTTTGGTAAATGAGTTTCAGGTCCATTAATGGGGTATCAAAGGCAATGATAGACGGAATTTTTGTTTGGTTAATGTCGATTGGAATGAATTAATCGGATTGATTACCCTCCACTGTGGGTTTTTTGATTACCTACTTTTTTGTCTACTTTCAACCTCATTCATCTTACTTTATAAAATATGAAAAACAAAAAAAAATTCAGAAAAAGCTCCCCTCTTTCTACTCTCTGATCCAATTTATTTTCTCCCTTTCCCTCTACCTCGATCTCTCTCACCCCATCGCCACTCTTCCCCAATCTTTATCTCTCTACCCCTCTCCTCTATTTCCTTCCCTCTCCTCCAATCTCTCTCTCCCTCGCCTCCTCTCATCACGCGATTTTTATTTGTTTACTCCCTCATTTTTTTTAAATTTTAGTATTTTCTCCCCTTTCTCTATGCCACTCTTGTTGACCTTCCTATCTTTTTTCTCCCCTTTCTTCCACTTGTGAAATTCCCCCCCCCCTCTCTCTCTCTCTAAACACCTTCGGGTGGATGACAAACAAAATTTTATCAACCAGAGGCAAATTTCGCAAGCTTGATGGACCGTTGTTTTGGTTTCAAATTTTTATGATTGAATCTTATTATTTGGGTTGATTTTGATGCCTAATTGGCTATGGATTTTACTTTGTACGGTGAGGACCATTTTTGTTCGAAATTTCAAGAGTTTGGTCTTAATTTAGTTGGAGCGTTAGTGATGCTGCTGAAATTCATGATTGTGTTAAAGATTTTTATTTTTTTTCAAGAAATCAAATATGTATATCGAAGTCAGAATCGATGGCGTTGGGAAATATCCGACGATCTATGGCCGCCACTGGTAGTTGCACTTGTGGAGGTTATAGTACTTGTAATGTTTAATGGTCAAAGGGGAGGAGGAGGAAAGAGAATAAAAAGGCGGGGAAAAGAGCAAAAGCAAAATCAAAACTCTTGAAACTTTCTCCTGAATTTATATAATTACCAAACACTTTATGAGTTTTTATGCAAAACCATTGTGATTAACTAATTAATCATACCTATAGTGATTGTGATTGAAGAACTTTAACCAAACACCTCCTTAGCATCAATCTTACATCTCGACCGAACATTCAGCATAGCTACGTACACAAAACGCACACAAAGAAAACTTCAAGTGCCCCGTCATGATACTCAATTGGTTCACCAATGAGCCAGAACGAGTCAGAGCATAAAATTAGAAACAGCAGATATGCCGAGGGACTAAGAAAATTTGAGCTTGCCAGCCAAGGTCTACCGCTTTGTCAAGCACTATGAACCAAAATGCATGCTTACTACTACTTGGAAAGCTGAATCTGGGAATATAAATAGGAGAATTCCCTCCCAGAAGCTGGTCCAAGTAACAAATGCGGCCGTGCGGGGACCACAACTAAACGTAGCCGGGAAGAGGCGAAAAGTAATAAATTAACTGCAAACTAGTACGCCTGACGGCGAGAAAGTTATAAAAGTTAATATACATTACACCCAAGTCTACCGAGAGTTTTCAAAACCCATTTAAATCCACAAGAAGTTGAAGAGCAGAATCTTGCCGTTGAAATCCTAGATAACAGGTAAAAAGGAAAAAATATTTTATATTTTAAATTGACATCTCCCCATATCTGCCAGGCTTCACTTTACCTCTTCGAACTCTGCTTATCAGACGAATCACTTCAGCCTGCTCCAAACAACACACAAATCTATGATATCAAGAAGATGCAATTAATTGCAATGCTACTGTGGATGATAAGGAGGCATTGCTGCAGAATGTGGCAGACCGTTCTGGCCGTGCAATGGCATCATCCCAGGGCCCATTTCAGGTGGCATGTAAGGGTGATTATGCATTTGCATGGGCATTGGTGGAGGTACTGCCGGGGCAGAAGTGTTCCAGCCTACTGAAGGCTGCGGCATTGCAGTACTTTCAGGAGGTGGAGGATAGTGGGCTCCATTATATTGGTGAGCAGCAGGACCACCCATTGCAATTGGCTGCTGCCCCAAAATTGAAGGCTGAGAGCTCATCATGGGGGCATTTGGAATTGTGTAATCTCTACTGCGATCGTTGTTGACCTGAAATCAGCTTACGCAAAATTTAGGTACCAAGGATCGTAACAAATAAATTGAAGTTGTAAAGAGAAGGCTTTCTTTGCCTAAAGATTTTGCACCACAATTCTCCATTATTAATTTAAACAATAATTTATAATGCCAACAATTCACTTTCATGCAGAAACAGTCGTAGATTATCCACGTAAGCCTGAGCTCAAATTTTGCCATGCATCTGTGTGAAGAGCTAGACATGATTATGTAAACCACACCAGAAAGATGTAAGCAAGCTGATTTGTTTGCCTAGTCTTTTATTGAACCGATAAATCATGCAGGAAAACTATCCTTGATCGTGATATTTAGATGCTGCATCTCAGGTGGACTAGCATCAAGGTTGACAGAAATATTCCCCTACTCAAGATACATCTCATGAAATGACACTGTAAACCTCCCGATCTGTGGATTATCTGGCAACAAGATCGAGGAGGAAGAGTGATACATATGAGATGCAGCATCAAACTGCAGTGTATCTGAAAGAAATGTTCTGCTCATTCAAGAAAAGTAACTCTGGGGAAACAGTGAACAGGTAAGCCTTAATTCTTTCAATTTGCTGGAGATGAGTCAGATTTACAGGCAGAAACAAAATTCGATTATTAAGTTGTCATGTCATTTATTATCAAATCCTAGGCCACCTGAATGTAGCAGCAGAACAAAGTCTGACAAAAATTTTAACCAAAAAACATCTAGGACACATGGAAGATCTCGCTGATGTAACTCCATATCCTTCTCCTAACAGCAAAAGAAACATCTGACTCTAATTTCCCTTTTCCTCCTTTCAATTTTCTTCTTTTTTATATATTAAGAAATTTTCTGTCTCTTTCCCTTCTTGTTTCCTTTTTTGTTGGGCAGGAGAAGAGGAATAAGGATGAGGGGGAATTCTTCTTCCACTTTAAATAAAAAAATGCAAAGATAGAGCACATAAAATTCTAGTAAATTGTTGCTGATAAGAAACAAGAATAGCCTAATCAAAACTCCAGGC